CCCCCCCCCCCCTCTCTCTCTCTGCATATGAGAACAAGAAAACTAATAGACAAGTCGGTAATAAAATAACGCCATAGATTACATGAAGAAAGAAACCCAATTCAAATAACTTATAGAATAGACGTTTTTTGACTTAAAACATATAACTAGATTGATTACTACAATAGAGACAACGTAAAGATTGTGTGTGTGTACCTGAACTTTGGATGGAGAGAACCGGAGAGAGAACACCGGTGGACGGAGTAAGAGGAGGTGGTGGTGGACTAGACGAGGACGTAGTCGTCACAGCTTGAACCGTCAAAGTCCCTTCCGAATTCGTAATGGCTAGAGTTTGATTCCTCGCACTCTCTTGAGCTAACGCATCGCAAAACGCCCTATGAGTAATAAAGCTATCCCTCCTGCAAAACAAACACAGTTCAAAACTTGTTCAGAAACTTTTCCTTCATTTTCTCAGTATCCAAACAGGGTCAGGAAGGGAGATGAAATGGTAAACCTAGAGAACAAAGTGCCACAATCGCATCGGTACTCTCGGGTGCCACAAGTCTTCATGTGGGCCTTCCAATCGGATTGAACCGCGTACTTCTTCGAGCACCGCTCGCACTTCCACTTCTTCTCGCCGTGCTTTCGACAGAAGTGCTTCTTTATTCCGGTGAGATCTCCAAGAGCTCTCGACGGATCGTGATGAACACAGCTTGGTTCAGGACACACGTACACTCGCTTTCTAACCTCTTTGCTCGTTCGCTGTTTCAGCTTCCAAGGTAAGTTATGGCCTCGCCGGTGAAGTTGAAGGTTCTGGTCTCGTTGAAACCCTTTGTTGCACACCTCGCACACAAATCGGTTCGTCGCTAAAAGAGTCTTCGGCGACAGAGATATCACCTCCGCATCTGGATCTGGAGCGAAACAATAAGAGAACAAACCGGTTGCCATAAAATTTCAGTGACAGACAGAAAATAAGTGCAGTTTATAGAGCTGAGTTTGCTATTTTATGAGCTTACGCGGCATTCCAGGGAGATTTCGCTTCTTCTTCGTCGCTATCATTGGTGGTGGCACAGCTTGAATATTAGGTGAAGAAACAGTACTGGCTTCTGCTAAAGTAGCAGAGACTACCATTGGAGCTGAACTTTCATAGTCGACCTTCATGTATATATTCTTCAAACACTTAGCTAGCTTTCCTCCAAATTCGAAACCTACTGTTAACCGGAAGTTCTTCGTAGCATTACAATTCAGCTTCTTCGGGTGGGTTTCAATCAGCTCTCGTCTACCCAGAAAAACTAGAGCTCTGACCCCTACTAATGTTGACGAATCTTCAACCGAAAATCAAAAACTTCCTCGGAAATTTGCTACCGAAATATTAATCCATGGCAACAGATGTATTTGAAAAGTTAGATTTCCCTTGAATAAATCCCAGCAAAATTTTCCTGGAAAATAATAAAGTTTCTTGGTGAATAAAGAAGATGAAAACGCCGGCTATGTTCATTTCTCAAGTCGGAAATCAATATCGGAGAATGTCGTATACGGCGGCAGTTTCTTTTTTACTGGAGCGGAGAGAGAAGCGATAGAAACAAAAGCCAACGAGCGCGAGGGAGAGAGAGTATAAAATAAAATTTATGGAATTAAATCAGAAAATTAAAAACTAGTTAAGCGGCGGCAGAATAACCATGGTTGTTTTTTTAACCATAGTTAGACCGCGTAGTTCTTTTGGGGGCCCTAGTTACAACGTCCGTACTTGACATCCAACCGTCCACGTGTCTAAATCACCTTATTAAATGACACTTGTCGGAGAAAGTCAGCATACGCGGTGCTTGTCGTTTTATGAAAGGCCCGAAAATAGAAAAACTCGGAAGTGTAATAATCAAACGAAGCTTAAAAGACAATTATACCACCGTCTTGCAATATTCGTCTGGAGTTTTGATTGTGTTGTATAAATAAAGGGTATTTTTCCTTCTTTTTTTTTTGTAATAAAAAATTTGTTACAAGGAAAGTAACATTGACGTTAACTACCAAGCTCAGTGGTCTAGTGGCAAAGTAGCACCCATTATTAGGTTTAGGGGTGCAATTTAGGTAAACTAATTCGATTTCAATTCGAGTTCCAACTTGAAAAAATTAGGATTTGGGCTAAAATTTTTAATATTTGAATCCAAAAAACCTCATCTTGAATATAATTTGGGCAGGCTCAGGGTTGAGCTATCGGGTTCAATTCGAATTAATACTATATAAATACAATTTTATCTTAGTGTTAATCTCAACTCAAGTGTGCGTCTCTCTCAGACCCTCACTCACTTTCAGTCTCTCTCAAGGATTCTGGTTGTGTAAGAATTTTGTTTAAACGGGTGAATTCTATGTTTGAGAAATGAACTCTATGTTTGTGCAAGAATTTTGGTTGTGTTTATTTGTGTTTTGGATAATTGTGGTTGTATTATCTCAAACATTAATTTCTTAATATTATGGTTTTTATGTTAAAAACTTGATTAAAGTAACTCAAAATCAACCTAAAATCATTAAGTCGAGTACTCGGGTTGAGTTTCTCAACTCAAGGTAGGATTAAAATTAGTATATTAAAGTTGAAGATTATATATTTAGGGTTGACTGTCTAACCCGTCCGAGTTGCACCTCTAATTAAGTTTGATTCACAAATAATAAATCGATGACTTGTTTCTAGCGAGCTGATGGAATTACGATCAATTGTGACTCTAACTATTATTAAGAAACACTTACAGAGTTCATCGTCTCTGGCTCTCTAGAAGATTATGCTAACAAATTTGAGTTGCTATGATTAAACCTTCGCAATTCTTTTTCACTGACAAAAATAAGAGCATTGACTCTATTTTTACAGAGAAAAATACAAATAATTGTAATAATCTATTATTCATAAATATTCGATTAATTCAAGAAAAGCAAAGGAGGATTGTTTTCACATAATCAATTCCTTTGTATATGGTTGTACAAAATAAATCTTACGGTTTGACGTGCTACTTTTGTGGACAATACTGTATGAGGAATAACAAGAATGCCACTCTGTAGATAAGGACGATTGTGATAATAATAAGACAAAATTGTCTCCAGTGTTTTGTCGGTTACCTAGTGGCTTTCTCGTGATTCTTTACTAAATACTGTCCAGGTTACTATTTATAGGAACCAACTCTGCCGTCAAATTCCCCTCAAAATGACAGTAATACCTTCGTGCTTATGGAGGAAATATACCTCATGATTATTACGTAGTCTTGTAACATTTGTGGTAAATATTTTTATTATTTTTTTGAATATAAAAAAATTATTATTTTTATGAGTAATTTATCATATCTATAGGTATTTTTGTAGATATTTTTATTATTGTTGTAATAACTATTTTTATTATTTTTTTTGGTACTACAATAGTAATAAAACTACTCACAAATGTGATAAATTTTGGTATGGTACTAAAATTCAAAATTTCAATACCATAATCAAGTCCTTTAATAAATATAAAATTAATAAATTTTACAGAATTTAATAATTACTTTTCTATGTAATATAATAGATATCTCATGGAAGAGAGTAGGGTTCATTGTAGGACTTGATTATGTTATCGAAGTAATAATTTTAATACTGTATCTCTAATTTTTATTATTTTAATAGATATTTTTATGATTTTTATAAGTCATTTTCTAACTAAAAAATTTATCACTTTTGTAAGTATTTTTATCACATTTGTAGTAATTATTTTCACCACTTTCTTTGATGCAAAAATAAAAAATTCACATTTATGAGTATTTTTATAACATTTGTAAATATTTTTATTATTATTGTAATAATTATTTTTATTATTTTTTTTGGGTACTATAACAATGGTAAAAAGACCTACAAATATTGTAAATAGTGATATGGTACCGAATTGTTTGGGGTACGGTAGTTAAGTCATTCATTTTGTTCAATTTATTGTGTTTTTATTAGACACTGATATCCGGTGGCTAAATATATCATTTAATCTTTTATTTTTTAGGTCATTTTAATAACTTAATTATCAAATATGTGGACTATTTTTACAACTAAAAATATGCCAACCAACACAATAAATTAATAAAATTAAAGAAAAATAATAATAAATATGATTAATATATTTTTCAATATTCAAACACCATAAAATAAAATACAATCATAACTCATATGCTTCCTAAACGACATTATTTTATGACGAATAAAACGATGTTATTTTATAACACATATTATTTAAAAAAAATTAAATATACATGTGAGTTGAATAAAAATATAAATATTTGGCAGTCTTACCCTATCAAAAAAATCCGAGAGTCAAAACTATTGGATAGGATAAGGTCGGAATATTCCAGAATACATCGGATGGACAGAATTTTGAACACCCCAACCTACCTAGTGATTTGGAATCTAAACAAATTTCCTTATTTTGATACTATCATTAATATTTTATTACCGTATTACCCTTGGCTGTTTAATCGTACACTGACCCCCAACACATTATAAAACTGCCATAACTCAGGAACTCTAGTAGTCCATGGGATAGTTTCTTTATATGTGTAAATATAGAAGTTATGCATGTACAAACACGAATACACTTTTATAATATGTTAATAATGTCATGCAATCACTGTATTTTATTTTGAAATCATTCAAATTAAAATCCAAGGCTATAATCAATTTTCGTATGGTACCGACTAGGGATGCAACTTGAGCAGGCTAATTTGATTTCAACCCGATCCCAACTCGAAAAAATTAGGGATTGGGCTAAGATTTTTAATAATTGGGTTGGACTTTAGTTAAAAAATCTCAACTCGAATTCAATTTAGGCGGACATCGGATTGAGCCATCGTGTTCACGAGTTGAATTCGAATATTAAAACCAAGCTCAACACGATTTAATAATTGGGTTCAACCCGAATTAATACTATATACATACAATTTTATCCTAGGGTTAATCTCAACTCAAGTATGCACCTCCCTTAGACCCTCACTCACTCTCAATTTCTCTCGGTCTCTTAGTCTCTCACTCTCAGACCTATCTCTCACTCTCAGATCCCTCTCCCCTATGCCTCCTCCCTCTCTCAGCCTCCTACGTTAAAGTCTCAGCCTTCTTCATCTTCCGCCTCTGATTGTGCAAAGATTCTGGTTGTGTTTATTTGTATTTTGTACGGTTGTGATTGCATTATCTCTCCCATTGAGTTCTTAATATTATGATTTTTATGTGAAAAACTTGATTAAAGTAACTTGAAATCAGCCCGTAAAATAATTCAAAATCAGTCTAAAATCATTAACCCGAATTCAATCCAAGCCCGTCCGAATTAAACTCGGACAGTGCTCGGGTTGAGTTTCTCAACCTGAGGTACGGTTAGGGTTATAGTTAGAATTAAAAATTATATACTTAGGGTTAAACTAGGGTTGACTGTTCAACTCATCTAACTCGTCTGAGTTGCACCCCTAGTACAAACTAGGGTACTATAGCCATGTTTGGCGTTGGAAAACATATGTACTTCATCACTCTTTTTATCCGTCCACTTCCATTTTGAATAAGCTATTAAACCAACCTTAATGAAGTCAATATATTAAGAGTTTTCAAGAATAAAAGGAGACTCGTTTTTGCAAATCAGGGAAGCTTAATAAAAAATGAAAGAGTAGAATGAGGAAAAAGGTGAGAAGCCACTAAATGTAAGGTTTGGTTCACTCGCTTTAATACTAGTTTAGTAGAAAGCGAGTGAAATGCATAGATCCTTTTAGAGATAAGGACAAGTACTACACGAGCTTTTAAGTCAAGAATACAACGAGTCTTATTCATTAAAAAATATTATAGAAAATCATTTCAATCATATCTCATTTAAATTAATAGTTACATTACAAATTACCTACATAATTTTCAGTAAATTACACAAAATCAAAATTATGAATTCTACTATTATGACGAAATGCAATACCAAGTTGTAAATTACTCTTACTGTCAATTGATTCTTGTTTGACAATAAGAGACCAAAATCACATTGATACCCCCTTTGACAAACCATCAAAAAGGACCAAACCCATACTCTATCTCTCTATCTCTCAGGGTGTCTAGTTGCAGAAACATCCAGCTGTAAGGGCGGTGAAAGGGGCTCGGCAATGGGTCACAATGTCAAAAAGCAAAATCGAGTGAGAGGGTTGGGAATAATCATCACCATTTTGATTATCTTTTGGCTTTCTTTTTTTTTTTTTTTTTTTTTTTTTTTTTTTTTTTTTTTTTTTTTTTTCTTTTCTTTTCTTGCTTTTTCTGATTCCTATAGCAAAAGAAAGAAAGGTCTACCATGAATTTGGATAGTAATACATCCCATCACCACCTTTACAGGACTTTTATCACAAAGTGTTTAGCGCTAGAGCCAATTTTGTTATTATGATATGATATGACATATGAGTAGATTGTGGGGCCAAGATTCATCCAATTGCATTGTTCAATGGCCTACTCACTCATTCATTTGGTTTTTTGTGGGTCAGTTTGATTTGATAACTCAGAGACTCTCTCAATTATGTACCTTTGAATCACCATAATTAAGGTGTTATTTGAAATGAAGTGCAACTCAGATTCGTTTTAAACTTTGATTTATGTGTTTAAACGAATTAAATTTGAATAATTTTTTAAACACG